TTAAGCTTCAGCTACCTGCAAAACCAAGTTTAACCCACTATTTTCGCCATAAAATGCCTGTCCCAAGTCAGCACTATGACAGATGTTTTGTAGTCGTTCATTTGTTAGTTATACTGTAAATTCAGAAATCATGGCGAGGTTTTTATTGATGCGAATAATCCGATTACTTGAGTATCGCAATAACATGAATAATAAGAACTCGCATTCTGATATCAAATATATATATCTGTATGTAGCTTTTCCTTAAACCGCAATAATCTAACTCTCATTTTTGATAATTCTTCAAAAACCGCGATAATAAATGCACGCAATAATTTCTGAGAAAACATTTTCACCAATAATATGACGAAAAATTGACGACCTCTTTTCACCACCGAACATCCTTTTATTTTGTTTGTCCTTCCAACTGTTTTGTTTCGAGCGCCAGCAATGAGACTTAAGTACACGAAACGCGCATTTGGTGTACCAAATGACAGGCTTGAAAATTTTGAGAAGTTTTTATAGTGTATAACGTTTCTTAATTGTTGACGTCAAACGCAGCAAAGTTGTTTTCAAATGAAGCAAAAAAAATTAAACAGTTGTTAGGCATTACAATGTGGGTCACTCTACGACGAATTGATGTTTGTTTTCATCTATTTCTTGGAGTCTCAAATTCTCATTTTCGTTTGAAAATATATTTTTATACATTCAACAGCCAGAAACAATTATTTGTATACACCTCTTAAACAAAGGATGTTACTGAATATAAAAATCTCCCTGTCCGTTCGTATTTCTGTGTGTCTGTCTGTCTGTCGATCCATGTACCATGTAAGATAATCTCATTCTTAGCAGCTAGCTGGGTATATCATACAATTACGGCCCAAAGAAAAGATACCTCGTTCCAGAGACCTTTGAAACCACTGATGGATATGCATCGCTTTTAAAGGGCAATACTTGTTTTATTTTATCAAACTAATAGTGGAAGGGCCCTTTGAACCATTGAAGAAGCACTTAAGGTGGTACCTAACACTACAGGGAGATAACTCTGTAAAAATCAATTAAACGTTTTAATCACGTTGTATTGTTAAGGAAATATTAAGCTTCTCAATGATCAAAATTAGTGTTTGTCAAACTGCTATATAACCAGTGAAATTTTTCTGATAAAGTGGTTGGTTCAAATTATTTGAAATTTTTATATTTTTGTCAAAGGGTCAAAGTAAACATTTTGTCAAAATTTTAGGAAAATTAAACGAGCCAAATTAATATTAGTCAAGGTGTTGGGTACCACCTTAACGTACTGTAGTAACAGAGTTTCAAAGTAAGCAAATTATTGTGTGTCTTAGAATTTCATGTATATGTACAACAAATATGGACGGCCTTGGAAAGGACAGATCTTTGAGTTATCCCTGACACTAGATGAATTTGAAAGCCTTCTTTCATCGTCACTTGATGGGCATCTGTAAACGTGCCCATTACCATTTTGTTTACAATCGTCTCTGACGTCTTTTTGATTTGAGATAACTCATATACAAATCAAGAAGCCCAAAAGGTTATTCACTAGTGAAAAATAAGGTTTCTGTCGCTGAGTGTAATTGTGAGGGATATTCATCCTTCTTGGCATTTAAATGAAAACTAACTGAATTATTCTATGTCACGTAATAACGTGTTACCCAGTAGAATTGTTTATCATATATAATAGGTATAATACCATGAATACCTATCAGCATATACATAGAGAATATGATATGGCTTTTTCAATATCACATATGTATCAACCCGAGACACCAATATAATCCCAAGAGCTCTGCTCGCGGGATTATATTGGTTGAGGGTTGATACGGTGTGTGATATTGAAAAAGCCATATCATATACACTTTATTATATACCTCAAATAGATGTTTTTTATGTGACATGACGTTATACAGATTAGGGGTTTGATAAAGCCTTTGCAACAGTGACTGATATCGATGACGTGGCGTCATACAGATTAAAGGTATGATAAAGACTTTGCAACCGTGACTGATATTGATATCATCACGGATGGCTGATACAGCACGATTACCGTTGACCGTATTACACATACAATTTATCTGTATTTACTACTGAGTCTATAATAAATATAAATATCCCACACTTCACAGTTGAAGAACATGACTTGGGGATTTGGAAAACGAAAATAATATCGGTACAACATGTTACAGATGAGATAATAAATTCACTGATAATATTTCAACATAGTGTAACCCTTTGTTCACAACTTTGTTCACTCACTATTTAACTTTGAAATTCGAGTCAGAATCAAAGATTGAATCTGGCCGACATACATGTATTTGCTATTTGACCATAATCACATTACTAAAAGACTTCATTACATCATACAGTTCTGCAATGTTAGGTTTAAGTTACATACTAAAATTTTTAGCAATAGAGATTGTTTTAATTGGTAGGTATAGAACCTCTAAATAAGGCCCGATCAAAAAGAATAACATTAACGTTACTAATGTTTCTGCACCAGATGCGTCTCTTTGGTGATACTTGAGTCCGACATTTCTTTAAATCCAAAGCTTATTTTAAAAATGAAGAGCTAGAAACCAAAAAGGATAAAATGTATAGCCAAATCTGGGCAAGGAATTAGAGCTTTGTATAAGGGAGATGTATTTTTAATTTAAAATGATTTCCAAACGTTGTAACAGCAAATCTAATTACACAATATCGTATTTCCATGCCAGTACCGAAGCACTGGCTACTGAGCTAGTTGTACCCTCGTGAACTAACAATCCGTCAGAACATACAAGAAAGTACCAGTAGTACATCTTATAAACAAAATAGTTCCTACGCATGGCTGTAATTTTTCAATAAGTAAAACATTTGGGTAATTTTGGTACCGGATTACTCTAATAAGAGTCTTCGGAATAGTTAGGAAAATGTAATTCATAAGTCATTTGACAAAGAAGTCTCAAATATAAAATTCAAATAAGAAAAGATTCCTAAAGTTATGAGAAATATTTGGGTCATGTAAGCTACTATCTCTACTCGAAGTTCTAACTACGGCATACATCGTCCGTATTTTTTTCACATGGTCTTATTCTACTGGGGGAAAATAAATATTCTGAAACAAACTTTACAAGAATTTAAATCACAGTCTTTTTCGTTATAAAACAATTGCAATAGTAAATGCACGTAGAACTGTAAACGGCTCCTGTTGACTGTAGAGCTGAAAATTTAAACTCAAACGCCGAAGATGTAAAATCATCTGATAGGCATATAGAGTCCCTCGCTGGGTGTATAAACTCTATATAAGCGCTAGAGTTACATCTTCAGCACTAGAGTTTACATCCTGAGCGCTTAGTGTTAATTTGCAGATCTAGACATTAATGACCTTAACTGTTGAGACCACACGGCTCTGCAGAAACATGACAGTTCTCCAATTGTTTATTCTTTGTATCTGTAAAATGTTCATTTAAAACTAGTTCTGGATTTCGAAAATTCTTTTATACACAAATATTGTTACTTTTATAACCTGTACGAAGTACAGAGTGAATCTCATTTAAAAAAATGTGTTTAAAAAATCTTATGTGTTAACTGGCATAAAAAGCAGCTGTGACCTTAATGATAATGTATGATTTGATAAAACTCACCAGGTGTGTACCCGACATAACACTGATTTCATAGATATGAGCAAAAATGTCAAACCCTGGATATGTTTTGATTGAATATAGAAATCAATTCGCCGTTTCAGAATATAATGCATTCTGGGTTATATTTTCAAAAGCGTACACCAAAACGTTTTGATTTGTTTAAAACGTTCTAAACAATGGAAATTGAACCAATGACGCAACGTTATTTTCATTTTGGTGTACGAACAATGAGATTACCCATAGTCCTTTAGATTCTGAAAAGGCGAATTAGTCAATACAAATTAAAACATATAAATGACTGAGATGTGAAATATAATACAGCAACAAGATCTAGAACTCCCACAAATATTTATTTACCAGAAGCTTTCGTTATCTTTCTGAAATGATTTTTAACTTGGAAATCACAACTGATTTTCTTTCTTAAATATCTCGCATTTGGTTACATATAGGCAGTAATATAATGTTGTTCAAATTGCATAAAGCCATAAACAAATCACGGTAACAAACAAAAACTGAGGGATTAACTCTAAATCAGAAAGATTAATTCCACCACTGCATCAAGTGTGGTACAATTTTTCTTAACTCGAGACAGCTAAATCTTAAAATTTAAAACGCGAGGTTTGTCGAGCTTTTTGAATATTAAAAATTTAAACGTTGAGAGTGGAGAAATAACGTAATACACGAGCTACAACGTATAGTGTAGGAATCTGTTTCCTTAATTATTGTAAGACGATATCGAAAAAAGTTTATCCTTCCTCTTCAAAGATTTGTAGAAAGTTGTGTTCTTTATAAGTGACGTCATCAGGCATGGTCGCCTTTTTTCATGACCTTACAATAGGAAATTCAGTAGAAATCAAGAAAATTGACGTCATAATTGAAATTTCGACCAATCATTTGCCGAGAACAGAGATAAGAATTTTTTTTCTTACACCGATCGAGACATATGAAAATAGCATGAAAATTAGAGAAAGATTGATATAAGCACTTGTTGCTTGTTTCTAAATAATATTTGTGAATGTGAATTTATATTAATTCGTAATTTGTAATTAGCTTTGACATCAGCAACTGATTTGAGGCCGTGACTTTTTTTAATTTGTGTTGCGTCAAGTCACATTTTCATCCGGTATGACGAATTAGTCACAAAATTAAAAAAACATCAGTAGCAAACTAAACACAGTTATATTTGAAGATTTAAATAATTATAGTTCAACAATTAAATCTAGTGATCTTCATTTCAGTGTAAAATGTATCTATATTGAAGCAAATAACGATTTAGGACATTCAAGCTTCAAATTCAAATTGTCCCTTGCGCAAATAAAATAAATACGGTGGCATTTATTAGAAAATACATGTACTGTTCAATACAAATTTATTTCATAAAATCTCTCAATTATCTGGTCAATCTTCGCAGTTTTCATCTTTTATAATTAATCTGCAAATGATAAAGCATGAAGTTGAAATCAAATCCATACCATGAGTGTTTATGTGTTATTTCACAAAATTGCCATTGAACATGCTGAAAAAAGGACTTTATGTTATACAACTGTTAATTCTTTTAAAGAAAGATAAAAAGAAAGAAAGAAAGAAAGAAAGAAAGAAAGAAAGAAAGAAAACAAAGAAAGAAAGAAAAGAAAGAAAGAAAAAAAGTGTTTGATCAGTTAAAATCTCTCGAAACTACTGTATTTCCGTCAGCTCAATATCGTAATCTGAAGAAACATGTTTTTAAAACGTGAGAAATGCTCTTTGTGCCATATTTTTCCATACCAAAAAAACGTCTTGTGACACCGAAGACTATAAGAAACTTACAACTTACAATTAAAATGTAGTTATATTGATTGAGAAATTTATAATATATCTAAGCAATTATAAATTCAAAGAAATATAAATGTTCTAACCATATTATATACTTACAACCACCTTTCTTCCTTCCGAATCCTCTATCATAATTGATACCTCGGCTACCCCATCCTCCACCTCGGTTACCCCAACCTCCGCTGTTGTATCTACCCCAGATACCATAGTTTCCGCCTTTCCAAGGACCTCCTGAATGTCCCCACCTTTGAGCACAATAGTAATATGGGTACCATTGAGTTGGTATACATCGCTTCCATGGTGGACATACTCTAGGCTAAACAAAGAAATAAGACAGATCCGATGAATGAAATTTTTAATTGTCTAAATGAAATCAAAAAGTGTTTATGTTTAGTAACTTTTCAAATACATCTCAATAAACTTTTCAAGGGATACTACTAGTGACAACAGATTTTCAAATCGTGGATTGCTTTTTTGTATAAGTTGATATGAACAAGTTTAAATATAACTATTGTGCTTTAATAACATAATTACATTCAATAATTACGATTTTTTTTAATGAAATTCCTAAATGAAGAAGTATTGGTTTTGTTTTTATCATTCCTTTAAAAAAAATCCATAAATTTAAGATAGCAAAGGAAAATAATAATACTAGAAGAATAAAACAAAAACAAAATATGAAAATAAAAAAGCTTGAAATTAAACCCCAAACATAAAAGTACTTATTTAGAATTGTAAAAGTTCAGTCTTACCCATGAATAGCATCTAGCAGTTGTTCCTAAAATAGTCAGTAATTAAATGAAGAGCAGCAATGTCACATATAAGATAATGGATAACAAATAATAAGTTTCAGGCAATGACTATGTAAACATTATCGCAACAATAAAAAAAGGTGTGAAAGACGTCAATGAGACAGCCACAAAACGTCACACATAATCAAACCAAATGACATGTACATCCTTTTTGGTTATATAGCTCCTCGGGTATTCAAGTATTTATCCTGCAATCGACCTGTCTACTATACTAATACAGGTGTACAGATAACACGAGGCGATAAACGTATACTAGACGTTTATAGTCTCCTGATATCCTGTTTCTGTTGCGAGCGAACGGTTATGTCAAATTATTGTTTACATCACAGTTCAATTTGGGGTCATCATTGCAGTCCGCGTTTAAGTCATGTCGATTTCATTCAAAAACAAATTCAGCGATTGGGATGGGAAAAAAGGTACAAAATTAATTTCAGGATAAAGACAATAACTGTTTAGTGTCTTTAATTACAGTTATTGTACGTTGAAGCTCGCATTACACCTGTTTCTTAGCCTCGTACAAATACAGCTGATATTTAAAGACACTAAACAATTATTGCTTATATATACAGGATTATACACATTGGCATTCAAAATTTTGTGGATCAGCATGCCCTAGTAAGGGGAATCCTTAAAAGAGCTTCTGACGTACCAAAGTTATATAGTGTGGTTTTTTCTCTCTCTCATTTTCTAGCATATGGTCGATACTGCATCTAGTGGAGTGCTAGACCGTTGGTTTTCCTGTTTGAATTGTTTAACACTAGTCATTTTGGGGCCCGTTATAGCTTGCTGTTCGGTTTGAGCCAAGGCTCAGTGTTAAAGGCCGTACTTTGACCTATAATTGTTTATTTTTTACTCATTGTTACTTGGATGGATAGTTGTCTCATTGGTACTCATACCACATCTTCTTATTTATATATAGTCCCCGATAGTCAATGTGTCGGTTCTAACATTACAAAATGAATTCAGAAACTAGTATTCATACAAATTTGACCTGTATATGATTGAGTTATTCCTTTTATGTCTCCTTTTGATCATATAGGTCCTCATGTACATGTATTCAAGATTGTATACGTCTTTAGCCTTTCAATACGTTGGTATGAGTGTTCCTGATGAAGGTAAATTCAGAAAAAGCGTGTTAGACGCACGAAATTTAGCTATAAGATTTGTGTTTTTACATACTTGTGAGGTAACAGGTGATATGTCATAGGAGTGTAAATATGAAGAACAGCAGTAATTACAATGTGAATATAGTCAATGTTCCCTGTAAACCTATCCTTTTCATTTATTCATGTATTTGGTGAACGTACCAACAATATCGTTTTGTACCTTCACTGTGAGTATCCTTTAAAGTCAGAAAATAAGGAAAAACAAACAATATCAATTTAAAGTTTTTGGTTCGACTTTTTCTACTAAAGGCGATTTCAAAAAGAAGATGTGAAATTAATTTAGGTGGTAAGCCTCTCCTGTCAGGAATAAATGAAAATGCTATCTATCATCTTCATTTTTCAATTAGTCAGATTTTTACGATAAAATTTTAGGATATTTTAACATTTTCTTAGACATGGCTGAAATCATACCTTGTATTGCTATTCCAAACAGGAAAATGGCGAAGAGGAGACAAGTGATGGGTTTCATGGTTAGCTAAAACGAAAGATACAAATTATGTATATACATGATTTGCTCGTATATGTAACAACGTATTAGATTTTAGCGAAAGAAATATATGTATTACTGAAATATTATTACACCAGGGTTTTCGATATCACAAACAAGTCAAAACATTTACTAAATTTTATCATCGGTACAAGGACATCATTCGTAAATATAAATCAACATGCAGACATCTGATACGTTCAGGTATTTCACATCCAATCTTTTGTGGTAATATTCTTTACAAAGCACAAAAATGTCGGCATTCACCTCTAAAGCTAACAAAACCTTTAAACAGACTTATTAAGAAGGGATATAGTTACGATACTGTTGTCAGGTCATTAAAGATGGCATATGTTGGCTTTAATATTGATTCACTTATAGGGTCTTTGCATCGGAAATAAACACATTTATTCTAAAACCAGTTGTTGGCATAATACGGGTTATGTTCTTCTCATATATTTTATGATGGTATGATACTAAACCCCTAACGGGAGGGATAGTGCTTGATATATATAAATATCAAATTACTCTTTCACTTCGAAATTTAGTTGAATTTAAGAAACCTTGGTTATCTAGTTAGAATAATCATTTAACTTCGAATTAAATTTCAAGTTGAACTTCGAGTTGTTACTTCAAGTTAAACTTCGTAATAAAAACATAAAATAGTGTCAAATTTGGTATATTGGAAGATGTGAAGGCAGCAGTTCGATATAAAATTATGTACATACAATACGCTTCTTTAAGTATCAACACAGTGACTTAATTTTTGGTCAATATACATGGTAAAACTTTTACATTAAATTGATTAATAATGATTTGAACCATTGATGTAAAGCAAAATACCTTAAGAATAGAAAGATGCATATGCTACTTGTCAATTGCGATTATGATATAATAATTGCCACATCAATCGCCAAATTACAAAGAGAACTTTATAAAGGGAGTAAATCAGTGTTTTATGTTTGTCCTTAGTTTACACCTTTAGAATATTTTCCGACGTACTTTATTTGATTTTATGGATTTTATTAATAACTGTTACTTCTCGTACAACTAACTTTTTACAATCCATTCCAAGGAAACATTAAAAGGATATTTCGGAACATCGTTGAATAACTGTTGCCTTAATTAATCTTAGTATTACATAAAAAATCCATGCTTTTATTACCTTTCCCTTCGTGCAGAGAATGTATGCCTCTTTTTCTTGACCATCTTATAAAAGCTTTTGCTAAAATCGCTGGTTTACAACGATATATTTTTTTATATTTTTAAACCTATTGTGTCTTACCTGTTTAGCAACCTTGATTATGGAATGTAAATATTGAATATTCAACTCGTATTTATAGTATTGCAACGAGTTCTGAAGCGTTGCTGACCAATATAACCGCAATTTGTTAATGTGGTTTTGTCACTGAAATGATGAGCAGTTTGACATCCAGGAAAATATGGTTTTTATATATTGATAGATCACTCTATGGTTTATAAGTCGATTTTTGTTTTGAACATTTGTAATTTTGTTGTTTATTACTGACAGGACGTAGAATTTTTGTACTTTACATATGTTTTGAATAATAGTAAAAATGAGTTAACAACAAAGCATTTCATTTTTCTCTACTTTATAGCATTGTATGTTTAATGTACTTTGATTGTTGAACAAGACAAACACAAATAAAGTCAAAAAGTATGAAATTAAAAACAATTCTGATTCACGTTTCAAAACACGCTGCTGTATTATAAATACGAGTGCAAGATTAGATAATTACATTCCCGTATCAAGGTTGCATCAAAGGTAAGAAATAATAGTTTTTAGAAATAAATATAACGTTAAAGATGAAAACTACAAAGGGTTTGCACTAGCTTTTATTAGCGGGGTGGCAGAACATTTTGATTGGAAGAAACAGAAATAAAAGCATTGTTAAACGATAAGCAAGAATTATATATATGCTCTATATACATGAGCTAATAATATCTTGAAAATACCTTTTATCTTTCTTGGAAATTTCTTATGAAACAGTTTCTATGTGAAGACAATTTAGTTCAAACTAATGATTACGCATAAAACACTGATTGACTACCTCAATAAATTTCGCTTTGTAATTTGGATAATAGTGTCGATTAATGAGGGACTTGTATATCATATTTCCGTCGACAACATATGAGCCGCATCGGATAGAAATCGACCTTACGCAAGTGAACGTATTCATGTACATGTGTAAGACTTTGCTTGATTTTCGAACCTTCAAATATGAAATAAGAGATGAATGGTGGTCTGTTTTGTAGGGTTCTGATATTAACTGAATTTTCAAGCAGTTATAGACTTTGCATGGAGGTTTTTTCAACCCGAAATAGGTTAACAGATATATTGATATTTATTTGCATAAGGTCGATTTTTATTTGACGCAGATTATACTGATTTAACATTAACATATGTCAGTTTATTAATATCTTGCTGGTGGAGAATAGTCTCATTGGCAATCATACCAAATCTTCTTATTTTGATATTGTATTTTATCTTAAACTTGAATTTTACCTTGTATTTTCAATTCGAAATTCAACTTAAAATTTTAAATCGACTTTAAAGTCGAACACCAAGTTAATTTTAATTTAATTTACTTTCGATGCCAAGCTCTAACTCGACTTAGAGCTGATGTTAGACGTCTGGTTCCCGATGAAATCATTACCTCAGTAGTAAGTGAGTGTTTCGGTGTTCACATGAATAATAACAAACTTTTCTGAAATTCCACATTGATAAATTTCGAAATTATTAAAAATCGCTTATTCAATTATTTAAGGAATGACTGTGAAGAAATAACCTTAAAATGCGGTGCTCACTGAATAAGTTTTAACAAGTATGCACCACATTTTTGAGGATATTTCAAATAGACAGAAAAAAAAAGTCACTAGTTATAATTTAATTCTAAATTCCATTTTTAAGGAGTAAATCATGAAAAACCGTTGATGACGTCACGGTCACATGACAAAATTATGAACTGATAGACAAACAACTTTCAGCCAATTAGGAGACGTGTTACATCCACAATTAAATTTTCATACTTGGCTTTCAAATGTTAGTGTTTGAGTCTTTCTGATAAAAATCCTTAATAAGTGTTTCTAATAAAAAAAAACAGACTATAACATTGCTAAAAACAAAGAAGGCGAAACGATAATGAACAGTCTACAAAATTAAACACAGAACACTTACAACTGATAAACTGAGCAACACGAACCCCACTAAAACACTGAGGTAACTAGTGATTGTTTTATATCATTAAAAAATAAGAAAAATATTTTCGTACGCACAGAGGTCATTATTTTATTAATTTTACCCATTTTACCAATCAGCATATGAATAATTTAAATCTTTGTTTTAGACAACCATGAAGCCTATGACTTGCCTCTTAGTCTGCATTTTCTTGTTTGGAATAGCAATACAAGGTATGATTTCAACCATGTCTAAGCAAAGTATCAAATGCTTTTGAATCCTATTGCACAACTCTGGATGAAGTGAAAAATGATAGCATTATTTTCATGTATTTTTGACAAGAGGGGCTTAGTATCCAAATAAATCTACATCTCCCTTACAGAATCGCTTCGAGTCACGGGTAAGGTCTTAGACAAAGTCGAACCCCAAGCTTTAAAACAAATGGTTATGGATGCTTCTTGTGTGTGTCCGATCTCATGAGTTTCAAAGATAATTACGTTTAAGCTACAAATAGAAAATGTTGGCCTATTAAACAAATTACATAAATACAGAAATGTGATAATTCTGAAAAAAACGTTCCCTATAAGAAGTGGGTCTCTTTTTGTTTAAGTGTGAAACGGGCTTGGTCGATTTTTTGTAAGCGTGACACGTGAAAGTCAAATTAGTATACGTGAAAACGGGAAACGAGGTCGGGGGACAGTGGAATTACAAGCGTTATTATTACAATGAAAAGCGGGATACGGGAATAGGACGAAACAATAAGCGGGATTTTACATATATTTATATTGTAATATATCAGGTTCGACTTACAATAGGAAGGGTCTTGCCTAGCTGAGTCAGACAACGAACTTGCTATGTATATCGCTTTTATTAAAGCATGATATCATTATGGAAGTTTGGAGAAAAAACTGTCATTTCAGGAAAACTGTCCCATAAAATATAAACATGATACAAAATTTGTATCCACTTTGTCCCTTCAAGTAGGCAATGAACTATTATTAAGGGGCTCAAATCAGCTCACAAATGAGCAAACACAATATGTCACATATGTTGTTTTTAATAATGAAACCCACCTTGCAAGAGAGCATGTATTTCTGTGTTAGTAAAAGTCTTTCATTTGTTGATAGTTTATCGACAGTAAGTGCAGCATACAGTCTTCAACAGTAGACACTAATATAAAAACTATGTTAAGCTCTCGATAATTTCATTTGTTGATAGTTTATCGACAGTAAGTGCAACATACAGTCTTCAACAGTAGACACTTATATAAAAACTATGTTAAGCTCTCGATAATTTCATTAACGTGTACCCCAAGCATTTATTGATTCAATAATGTTTACAGCGTATACGTACTCCTAGTGTCAGAAACTTGTAACTTAGTATGTGTTACCCATTGCCTTATATGTGATATCACTTATTCTTATTATTTCAGAAACAACTGCTAGATGCTATTCATGGGTAAGATAGATGTTATACATGGTTATCTAAGGGAGCAACCATTTAACTTCAAGGGGGGTTATGATTTTTGTCTGAGTCAGATTTTTTTTTCTCAAAATTTAACACTATAAGGTACGGGGAAAATCTAGATTCAGAATATTTTTTTTTTGTCATCTGCTTGACCACAACATTTTTTTCATCGAATTGGGGATCAGAATATTTTTTTTAGGGAAAAACCATAACCCCTCCTCCCTCCCCCTTTTGAAGTTAAATGGTCGTTCCCTAAGTACTATCATTTGACCTATTGGATTATACTTAGTACCGGGTTTTTACTTACATTAGCAACACGACGGGTGACACATTTGGAGCAGGATCTGCTTACCCTTCTGGAACACTTTAGATCACCCCTGTTTTTGGTGGGGTTCGTGTTGCTCAGTCTTTAGTTTTGTATGTTGTGATTTGTGAACTGTTGTTTGTCTTTTCGTCGTTTTTCGCTTTTGCCATGACATTGTCAGATTGTTTTCGACTTATGAGTTTGAATATCCGTTTAATATCTTGCGGCTCTCTTTTACGCGTTTAAATTGTTGTTCTTGTTTTGTCAAAAAAAAATTTTATGATCATGTTAATTTATAATAATAGTCTTATCTTTTTTATTTTTAATTGTTTTTGTTATAATGGGAAGATAAATTGTTATAATGGGAAGATAAAAACAAAATCATTTATTCTTTGGTAACCTCATTTGGGACTTTTATCTCATACAACAAAACAAACGATGTATTGAAAATTTGTTGTCATTCGGAACACTACTGGTCGTTCAGAATTAACACACAATTAATAATCCTTGAAAATTTAATTGGAATATATTTGAAAAATATGTTGTCATTCGGAACACTACTGGTCGTTCAGAATTAACGTACAATTTCTACTCCTTGAAAATTTAATTGGAATGTATTGGATTAAAATCAAATAAGCTTTCTCTAATTTCTTTAAGCTTATTAAGACTACAATTCATCAAATATTTATTATTTCTGTTTAGCCTAGAGTATGTCCACCTTGGAAGAAATGCATTCCTCTCCCATGGTACCCATATTACAAATGTGTTCAAAGATGGAGATATGGAAATTCAGGAAGTCCTTGGAATATGGGAATCTATGGTAGTTGGAGTAGCTACGGCAGGGGAGGAGGGGGTTATGGAGGTGGCGGTATTGGTGGTTATGGAGGCTATGGTATGAGTGGTTATGGAGGTGGCGGTATAGGTGGTTACGGAGGCGGTATGGGTGGTTACGGAGGCGGTATGGGTGGTTACGGCGGTGGCGGTATGGGAGGTTACGGAGGTTACGGAGGTTACGGAGGCGGCAGTATGGGTGGTTACGGAGGTGGCAGTATGGGTGGTTATAGCGGTTATGGGTCTGGCGGTTTTGGATCTGGTGGTTATGGATCTAGAAGTTATGGCAGAAAGAAACGAGTTTGTAAGTATGAAATACGGCTCGATTATAATTATTTTTTTAATTGCTTAATATATGTATAAATTATACTATAAGTATAAATAATAATGTCATTAATGCTATTGCATTTTGATATATGTATTGGTGTCACTAAACTTTCACCATTATCTTAAGAAAATGGCACATCGAGCATCTCTCAATTGTACTGTATCAAACAGTTTTTATCTAATACTATATATTTATTTCCCGTGCCTGAGGGAGATATGAATATTTGTTCACCCAAGAAGATTCATATCACATGAGGGCTTTGCCCGAGTGAAATATGATTTTTCGAGGGTAGACAAATCTTCATATCTCCCGAAGTCAAGGGAAATGAAAGTTGTATTCCACAGCCTATGATTTGTTTACAACCTGAATATAAAATATTAATTTACATACATTTGTTATCTTATCCCCTTTTATCTATAACTGAACACGACATAAACATTGATAAACAGTACGGATCAAAATATACATATTGGTCTTCTGGAATAAATTTGAAGACGATAATGACTTTACTATCGCTATTTTAAACGAAAAAAAAACCTTCAAAACGTTGTGTACGTTAATCGCACGTAACGTCGCACGATGAAGTCCCGACCTTCAGAGGGGAATATGATGCTCAGAGGAGAATATGATGCTCAGAGGGGACTATGAAGTTTTGTTCATTGACTCGTGGGATAGTCTCAACCAATCAAATATTGATTAAGCTATCAATATGTACAAACAGTGGAATACTACTACTAGTATTGTACTGACGGAAGAACGTTTTGAACTACTTTCATATCACATTAATGATTTCATTAGTTGTTTTTTTTTTTTTTTTTTTTTTCATTTTCGAAGTGATTATAAGCAATGACTAGATATAAACACAGTTTCAAATAAAACTGCGAGTATATAGAAGAGTTATTATTCCCTAAATTAAAAGTTATGTAAAGATATGAGAGATTACTTCCTAAGGCTTTTCATCTTTCTAATTTACATAAATGAAATTTAGCAAAATTATACACGAATGTTCACGGACTGAAAAGAAATAACATTAGTTAAGAGACTTAAATCGCAAAAACATTTCATCTCCTGTTTCCTCTTTCCTAAACGAATGAGCAGTTGTATCACGTAAAGTCTTATTTCAAATGATATTTTACAAATATATATATAGTACACAAAATATCATTGAATTGTAAAGAATAGATTTCCTTGAACAGCATGTGTTTATTCCTTGCAGATTAGTGACAAAAAGATGGAAATTACAACGATTGACCAAATATTTGAATATTTCATTGAATAAATTTGTATATTGAGCAGTACATGTATTTTCTAACTTAAGCCAACGTTTTTCTCCGAGTGTTTTTTTGTTGTTGTTTTTTGTGTTGGTTTTTTTTGTTGTTTTTTTTTTGTGGGGGGGGGGGGGGGGAGTTAATTGATAACACTAAGGATATATGATGTGATTGGCAGTGTGACAACTGTCCACCACAGGTCAAAGGACGAGGATTCTTGATTATCAACCCTTTTTTTAGTCCTTACCACTTCAAATGGAATCACAATACCAAATATATTTTATAGATACAATGTATATGTCAAACAAGTACAATACATATTAATTATAAAAATAAGAAGATGTGGTATGCTTGCCAATGAGACAACTCTCCACAAGAGACTAAATGACATAGAAATGAACAACTATAGGTCACAGTACGGCCTCCAACAATGCGCAAAAGCCATACGGCATATTCAGCTTTAAAAGGCCCCGAAATCAAACGAGAAAATTAACGGTCTGATTTATGTACAAAACAATGAATGAAAGACAAGTATGATATACAGCAAACAGCGACAAACACTGAATTACAGGCTCCTGACTTGGGATAGACACATACACAAATGTGACGGAGTTGAACTAGTTTGTTGGCATGCTACACAATTTTCTAGCAGTCCCTATAGAGTGCAACGGCCAAAAATCAATTGAAATACATTTGGCGCAACTATAACATATGTCTGGAATGCATTATAAGTTTCTCTTTAGGTTTTGTTATGGGTAGAGAGTTTGAAATATAGCGAGAGAGTCATCTATATATTATTTTTGTTTAAAAGGAAACTTTCCCTTTTGTGTCCCTACCGCCCGTATCGACCCTTAATACGCCAACCAAAGACACATTGAACAACTTTATATCTTTAGCACTGGAGTGTCCATCTCTATCGCTCGACTAACAATATTCAACGCGGGACTTTACTTTTGAAAAAAAAAAACATTTTTAGAAAAACCTTTATTTGGACAAATAATAAACATACGCACAAAAAAAAAACTAACAAAAATGCTTGTGGTGTGTTGCTATCGATACCCTTCAGTTGTCTTCAACGTATCAGAAAACACGAAGTAGGTGTGTCACAGACCAGAAAAGTCCATTGTACACGTTTCGACATATCCGTCTTGAACTGCTGCTAAATATTAGGACAGTCATCATATCCAGTATATGTTATGTCCAGCATATTCTGAGAAATGCGTGTATTTGTTGTACAAACAGATGTACTGACGAACAGACGGAAGGACAAGGCGATTGCAATTAAATATAAGCAAAGACAACCTTTGACTTTGGACAGCTTCCATAAATAAATGGCGGGTTGGAATTATTTTTAAAAATTTTAAGAAAGCAAAAAGAGGGACATGCAATACAAATCTTTAGGGATTTTTTCTTTTGATCCGGTGTTGGTCTGTCCTCTCTTGGTTGCCATTTTTTCTTGGTTTCTACACTCGTGGCTGCTTAGGTGAAATTGTCCACTATAGCTGGCATAGCTAATTTTGTTAGAATTGTTGCAACAGCTACTGGAAAGCCACAATACTGTCATTTGTTTTCACTAAAGTTGTGAGTACGAACCCTGCACGTGGCAGGAACGTTCGTCTGCAACTAAATTGACTAGTTTATATATCACAACTCGTTCGCTATGCCCATGTCTGTAGTGACATTTTGGATTTCAATGAACGTAATCTATGTATTCTGGTAAATTATTAAGTCAGGGATTTCGTTGCAAAAAATAACTTAAATCCTGTACATGATTCTTTCATATATAGATACACAGATTTGGTTTGTAAGTTTGGCTGTACCTGTAGAAACTGGATAGCACATCCTAATTTTTACGGAGATGTTGTTTACCGAGTCCAAAAACTTAGATACGATCCAGATAAACTTATCGATCTTTTCAATAAACTTATTCTAAAAGGTTACCTATTCAACACTAATGAGATCTTTGAATATTGTTTTTAATGGTATATATATTGATTTTGTGATCTGCAAATTAAAACCAAACTAAATAATATTGTTACTTGTATAATGCATAAGCATATTCACGGTTCTCCTGTAATTTGGTATTGCACAAGGTCGTGTTTTTCTCTGACTGTTAATGACGTCTGTAAACAAGATTCATTGGATGTTGGATGTGTACTGATTGATATTTTAGTCTAAGATAAATGTTTTTTTAATTAGTTGTTATTGCCTTTGAACTATAGCTGTCGGTAACTGCGAGTACGCTCAGATCTGTATTTAGTGTGTTTTTTGTTGTGGTTTGCAATGTCCGGTCTGTGCTTTGTATCGATCTGATGAGTTCGGTTCTTTTTAACTTATTTTGATATTTTGTTCATATATTGTGCTTTAACACCACTGTCCCAGGTAAGGGGAGGGTTTACAGCCCGCAAACATGTTTAACCCCGCCACATTCGCTATGCGCCTGTCCCAAGTCAGGAGCCTGTAATTCAGTGGTTGTCGTTGGTTCATCTCTGTCATATTTATTTTTGGTAAATTGTTTTGTTATAAATCACGCCGTTAGTTTTCACAATTGAATTGTTTTATATTTTTTATGCCGGGGCCTTTGTAGCCGATTATACGGTTTGGGTTTTTCTCATTACTAAAGGCCGTATGGTTGTCTTTAATTGCTTACATCCACTTCATTTGAACTTTGGTGAATAGTTATCTAATTGGCAATTATACCACATCTTATTGTTTTAGGATTGCCAGTTTTCCTGCCGCATGTCGGTGGTTCTCTCCAGGCACTCTGGCTTCCTCCATCAACAACTGGCCGCTACGATGTATAGCCAAAAGTGCTGAAAGTGGCGTTTAACACAAACAATCAACCAATCGAAACATAAATTATACAAGATCGATCCACTATGAATGTATTTACCTTCTTCAGAAACAATTAATAATTCACTAATCAGTAAAACACAAAATGAACTTCATTTCATGCAGATAATATAAAACCATTGCATATTTTAGATATTTTTATTTCTTCGCTACAATTCCCTTGCATATAAATCTATAATCTAGACAATAACAGATCTTTAAAATATTGAGCACCTTATCATAAATTTTTCTTCAAAAATTGCACAAGGTCATTCATTGCACGAATTCCTACTTGAAATGGCATGGGACCGTCAAAAAAGAAAATCATACCATGGAAACCATCTGCATAATGTGCCAAATGCACTTTAGCACCAGCCTTTTTTAGGCGCTGATAATAGATTAGTCCGTCATCACGTAAAACGTCATATCCGGCTGTTAACACATATGTAAGCGGCAAGTCTTTGTATTTTGCGTCCGGCACCATCAGAGGTGAAAAATCAGGGTTTAAAATTGTCTCTTGTATTTTATCTGATAATTCAGTTTTTCCAAAATTTGTTTTTTTCTTCATATTTCGTAAACTTGGTGTTCTTATATGTTCCGTCATGTACCAATCTGGACTAACATATTTAGCATACAATGATTCTTTCAGTTTTTGAGACGTGTGTCTGTTAGCTAAGATATCATCAATATAGTTGTAACTGATATTTCCATAATTTAGCCAATAGGTCAACATGGACACATCGGTAAGCATTCCTGGAATGTAATCTTTATTTTCAATATATGACGGTGTTTGTAGATCAAATAATTGTAAACAAGGGTAAATTGGGACGGAAATTTTGATTTCTTTCTTCATTGCCATAGCAACGGCTGCTGATAAGTGGCCTCCTGCACTGTCACCGGAAATAGCTACACGTGACGGATCTACATGTAAAGATTTTGCGTTATTGACGACGTACTTAGTTGCAGTTAAACAGTCTTCGAAGGGTATTGGATGAGGATGCTCTGGCGACTGTCTGTAACTGTAAAACAAGACAAAACAAAAAACTTATATTATAACATCATTTTCATATTGCAATAAACAATTTTTTAATGTCATGAAAGGAAATGTTTTTTAGTACTTTTTTTTCCAAGCCAATATGAAACAAGGATATGTGTCCAAAAGACAACAGGCCCTGCTTACACCTTTATATTTCTATATATATATATATATATATGCAAAGAACCGCAAATGTGGATCAAAACCATGATTTGTCATAATCATTGAAAGTTCCTATCAGAGTGAACATGGATGTGTGCTATGTTTCATGTTGACTTGACCACAACTTCATCTACTACAAATTTCACTATCTTATACCGGTCATAAAAAAGAAACATTATCAAAAGCGCCATTTCTTGATTAAAGGAAAGAGTCTAAGCAGACACAATATCAAAAGCTAGTGACCTATATAATATACTGTATTTGATTGAAGACTTCAAACAGAAAATGCTATTTCACATTATATCTTTGTCATTTTGCATAGTATGTAACAGTGTAAACTGAAGCCATTTGTTTATCACACTTGCAGATTACAAATAAAGCGGATAGTTTCTCATCATACATGTGTAAATAAAATAGGATAACCATAGCATTTCTCATCATACATGTGTAAATAAAATAGGATAACCATAGCATTTCTCATCATACATGTGTAAATAAAATAGGATAACCATAGCATTTCTCATCATACATGTGTAAATAAAATAGGATAACCATAGCATTTCTCATCATACATGTGTAAATAAAATAGGATAACCATAGCATTTCTCATCATACATGTGTAAATATAATAGGATAACCATAGCAGTCTATTCAATTGAAAATTAAATGATAAATTGTGTACACTCACCTCACAGAAACTACAACCATACCAACTCGCTTAGCTAATGCCCTTGTTGCTCCGTCATACACATCTGAAAAAAATTGTTAATATAAACATAAGAAGATGTGGTATAATTGCCAATGAGACAACTCTCCACCAGAGACCAAATGACATACAAGTTAACAACTATAGGTCACCATTACGGCCTTCAACAATGAACAAAACATATAACGCATAGTCGGCTAGAAAAGACCCCGAAATGACTAAATTAATGTAAAACAATTCAAACGAGAAAGCTAACGGCCTGATTTATGTACAAAATAATCAACGAAAAACAAATATGATAGACAGCAACAAACGACAACCACTGAATTACAGGCTCCTGACTAAGCATTGATATTTATAACCATTCATACAACAATAAAAATAGTAACGACAGCTGCACGGTACTCTTAAATAACACAGATGTTTATACTGTAGACGTGGAAATTTTCGAGCGGGTGTTATTTTCAATTATTTCGCAATCACATTAATTGCGCGTAAATGCCCCTTTCGCGATTCGTTTGTATACAAATCAGCATTATATATGTGAAGGGACAACTTCCGTTCGATTCGCAAATTTGACCCCCGAATGAAAGTTTTGTGTATTGAAAAATAACAAACCGCTCAAATTTTCGACATTTCCAGTAAAATATACAAATCATATATTTCGTTTACCGACGTTATACCTCTAAGCTAAGCATACCCAGTAAATGTTATTAGTAGCAATGGACCAATTGAGATATCTTTTTTGCTATCAAAAATAACCTTGAAAACACAGGCACTTGTCTTATTGAAAATAAAACCTATTTACTTTAATATTAAAGTATATATACTAGGTATTTTGTTCAGAGACAAGTGCATGTGCTTGAAAAGCTAAAACGTAATATGACGTACGGACTAATCATCACGCACAAAACAGTCGCGTTTCTAAAATAAAAATGCAGCTTTTTGTAAATCCATTAGAGTCAAACGCAGTTTTTTCTTCTTAACCTTGATAAAGATCGATAATTTCGATATATTTGATTGTTTGTTTCCTAAAACATGACAGTTATTGAATACTGCTAATGATATACAGTGTACTAACAATTGTACCTATATACGTACAGATAAGTAAATCATGACCAACCAAAAAATGATACACTAATGTTGGTCTATAAGTGTAACTAACTACAAATAACCTGGTCCAAACACCGCCATTATAATACACTAATATTGGTCTATACGTGTAACTAACTACAAATAACCAGGACCAACCACCTCCATATAATACATTAATGTAGGTTTATATGTGCACCTACAGATAACCAGGACAAAGTAATGACATGATAATACACAAATATTGGTATAAACTTCTCCCTACCTATACATAACCACCAACAACTACCATAATAATACATAAAGGCTTGTCTATACATGTACCTAACAATGGCCAACCACCGCAGTATAATAAAATACTTAAATGCCGATTTATATATGTACCTACCTACAGAAAACCATGACCAACCACCGCCATGATAATACACTAATACTGATCTATCCGTATACCTACCAACAAATAACCAGGACCAAACACCGCCATGATAATACACTAATGCTGGGCTATACGTATACATACATTCAAATAACCAGGACCAACCACCTCCATGATAATACACTAACATAGTGTTATATGGTCACCTACTTACAAATGACCAGGACCAACCACCTCCATGATAATACACTAATATAGTGTTATATGTGCACCTACTTACAAATGACCAGGACCAAACACTGCCATGATAATACACTAATATAGTGTTATATGTGCACCTACTTACAAATGACCAGGACCAAACACTGCCATGATAATACACAAATAGTGATATAAACGTCGCCCTACCTATACATATATAACCACCAACAACTACCATAATAATACATTAATCATAGTCTATACTTGAACCTACCTACAGATAACCAGGACCAACCACCGCCATGATAATACACTAATGCTGGTCTTTTGTTTGATTTAAGATTGACAGGTTCATAAACTCTCACACCAACTCCATCAAACTCTGTATCATATATCTACAGTAGATACACAAATGTATGCAGTAATAACTGTTTTATTTGAGTAAATCACGGTTATTTTTTTACTATTAAATTTTCTTATCTAAGATTTGTCTATATATATATGGGCTTGTATTATATTTGCCTTCGGGTTTATATGATCCGTTCATCCTATTTTGACTCCTCAAAATTCCAGAGTCTATACTAAATTGAGGTAAATTATGTGGCCTTCCAATAACCGTTTCGATTCCTAACATCACTGAAGAGACATTAATTGTCGAAATCCGGATATGGTGTACAAAAAATCTTTGCACCTTTGTTTGCGGTATACCATCTTTGCCGCAAGTTTATTCTTTTCTGTTTGGTATTAATTTATAAATAAGATCCATTTATTACACCTTGTGATCCGTTTATTTGGCAATCGCCAATGGCAGTCAGCAGGATTTAAGAACATTTGTTGTTCGACCTGTTAGTCAAATGCGTTTTGTTAAAATATACTTTTTCACTTTTTTGGTCTTTTGGAAAATGTTGTTTGTGCTGTATTTAGACCCCTCTAACAAGAAATTTGTTTTGCATGCACACGTATAAAAATTGCGGTTTTTATCCAACGCAATCATAGGTTTGAACGTTGTTTTCAATTTAGACTTGTATATATATATATATATATATATTCATTCTTTCATTGATTAGTTCATTTTCTATCCGTGGAAACAAATCATTTGTGGAGTTCATAAAACTGATAAATTAATACTGAGTACACTTGAAGAAAATACGAAGGCACGTTCCAATATTCGACAAAATGGTTTGTCACAAGGGCGGATTAAAAGGGTAGGAGGATGCCCCCCCCCCCCCAAAAAAAAATCGTGGGTTAAGAAATATGAATAATAGCAATAAAAACGTTTAACGGTAAATGATGTCATACGTCATTTTTGGTTTTTTTTTTTGTTCAAAGGTTATAAAACATTAAAACTGAGATAACTCTTCAAAAGTCAGCAGGCTTGAATAGTATTAGAAAACATATAAGGCATCTACTAAAATATGCATTGCAGGCAACATCTTAATCTTTATAAAACTTGGGATAGGTTGATATCTTATGTATCTGTGTAGAGAATATCCGTGCAGTCAAAGAAAAAACAATATTTTTAAAATAATTATTGTGTTTTAATATCATATTAAAAACAGGTTCAGAAATAAGAACAATACTTATTCTAATATGCAATACCACTTGGAAGCATTTTATCTTAAAGAAAGCATTATAAATTAAACATGTTAAATAGTATTATAATTTAATTTAATTTATATCCGTGAGGGAAAAAAGAAAAGAGCATATAAGCTAATTGAAATGCATGTAAAATATATAGTTGAAGCATTCATATTGCTATGTGCAATTTTACTTTTCAACATGTAATCCTGTGCCATAACGTAGAAAGCACTTTTGTCTCCACCAATTGCAAAAATCAAAATATTGGCATAAATAGTCTTTAGGAAATCTGCAAGAGAATTCACAAGCTCTTTGTGTTTATTATGTGAATACGAATTTGGCACGTGAGTAAAATGGTTTGTTGCTTCCATAGCCCTTCGTCAACAATTAGGATTTTTTTATGTTTTACAAGCATACTTGTGTTGTAGTCAGGGAAACACAAAGAGACAATGGTAAGTTACAAGTACTGTATGTAAGAGTTGCCCGCCGTCAGACCCTCAATCGGTTAATTTGTTTGTACTTTTACATTTTAATATTTCATTTCATTCAAATACAGAAAAAAAAAACAATCTAACGTTATTAATAAGATTATCTATTATTGGAGATTTTGCCACACACACATTAAAAATACAAAGTTACAGTTTTTAGCATCGTATTGAATTTTTCACAAATCGCAATCATAAATACACGCTCTTAGTACTGAATTTACTGTACTTTCATTTAGTAAACACTGGTACTAATGTTGGTTGTATTTTTACTTATAAGATATCACAAACGCTTATATTAAAAAGAAAATAAAATCAATCGATTGCTTGACGTCCAGCAGCAGAGATTATAATGATATTTGGGACGATCGCATTGCAAGTTTATGTGGTATGAAGATACCATGCGTTGTACTAGACATATATGATAAGTCTATTATTTAACGACAAGATTACATGCATCGCAGTCCATTAAACGACGTATCATCTTAGCCTGATACTTTACAAGCCGATCAGTATTTGCCCTTACTTCATTTTGATGTGCACTAAATAAAGCAGTAAATATCAATTTTACTTAGTCTGAATTTGACCCCCTCTACCCCCTTTTAGTCTATGCGAGTGCTAGGTACACGAAACCATGAATACTCCGTAATAAAGAAGTAGCAGAAACAGTACATTGGACATTGAATGTAATAAAATATTAACTGAATTATTTAATCTTACTGGCATTTAAATTATTTACCACTTCGGATTTTGATTTCTTGTAAAAATGTACACTCTTTAAATAATTTGTCACGTATGCTTATATATGAATACAATAACATATATCTATACCTTTAGTTCTGGATCTGAACCCAAACCAAATGGACTTCCGGTGATCAGTGTTGTTAGCATCATATCAACCCCTTTTCTTGTAAATCTGCACACACCTCCGTGTACGCCAAAATTATTCAAGTAGAGGATCTAAAAAAAATGTGTATATGTACAACGATGAAATACCAAAATCATTCAAGTAGAGGATCTATGTGTTTAAACCATTGTGGTGACGTCAGCCTATTCATTTACCGTGGATTCTTTTTCTAGAATCAACGCTTCCTAAATCTGCCGCTGAAATTGACTCACCAAATTATATTCAATTGTTTCCTTTGTGTGCCTAATTTCATTAAGTTTGAATTGGCTAATTTACTGATTTCTGTTCACTAATGGAAATAATTTAAAAACTTACCTTTAATTTTTGTAATTTTTATATGCCTTCACTGGGAATCGAACCCTTCCTTGAAATCTCTTATGTGTCACTGACATCAACACATCGACGAAACCTCTCGGCTACCAATGGGTTACACTATAGATGTCTATTTTATATATTTAAATGAACATCTGATTTACATCGGTTCATCGGACACACAGGGCTTGTACCTTTATATAGACACAATAGGCAGTCGTATAGTATGAGTTGGTAGCCGCGAGGTTAGCATGGTTAACATCAATGAGTTAAAGATAGGGTTTTGTCGGTTTAGGTTCGAATCCCTGTATTCTCTCTGTTGTTCCAATTCTTAAGTTATCCTGTTTTTTTCTAATTTTGCATGTTATAGTGTATATTTTTGTAATAATGGCGAGTTTTATTGTGTTTTTTTATTATTATTGGCTATTTCACATGTTTGAAACAAAAATGATTACATTCTATTTGTCAATTTTTGTTTTATAAATATAATATGATTTCATCTGTTTTACTACATAATTTTACAAAGGTTTGTTCGCAAATTCCTATGCGAGAAAATCGTGATGTGCCTAGAGTGCTAGAAAAATTTCGATAACATACTTATTATATATACTTTATATATGCTTTTTGGTCGGGTTGTTGTCTCTTTGACACGTTCCCCATTTCCATTTTCAATTTTATTTGAAATAATTTCGAATATGTCTTATTTTTAATAAACAGATAATATTCATATGCCTGGTAATATAAAGATCTTTAAAGGTAGAAGTGTTATATTTGTATTTTGTTAACGAATTAATTGTGATCTGAGATTTATCAATGCATCGTTGGACACGATGACATGGTTATTTAAACTCACTTACAATACCTTCTAATTAAGTAAAGGCTTTAATTTTGAAAAGAAATTAACACAATAGTTTAAGTTATAGATACAATGGATAAGCGTAGATTCATGAAAAACAAACCATTCGCCCTCCGGGCTCATGGTTTCTTTTTCAAGAATCCACGCTTATCCATTGTATCTATATAACGTATATGTACAACGATGAAATACTAGCATTTGATTAAATAATTCCGTTTCATTCATTCATTAATTCGTTCAATTTGTTTGTAGACACACAGAAACTTTAATGAACCAACATACTTTAGTCTGGGAGACCATGATTAATGTATTAGTTGTAATAGGCTTTGGACTAGTTTTTCAAGTAAAGTCGTGGCACAATGATTTGGTTTTGCAGAGTGAGTGTACCGGGTTTAGTGAATGGAGAGGAAGTGCACTGACTGTCATCTGAAAGAGAGAACTATGGATAGAGGCAAAAAGTAATGTCTTACAGATTATTTTGAGAAATAAAAAAATAGCTGTTTCACATGATTTGTATGTGCAGTCACACCTGTTAAAGATGGTACATAATAATGGTTGTCAATAAATATTGTTCAAAGAATGAGGGTAAACTCCCTATAAATTGTATGGTCAAGACTAAGGTATCATTCTAGCTTTAGAATAGTTACAGGAATCACTATGTTGCAACATACATGCCAAATTCCTATTTAACTCTCTACTGAAATATATTGAGCACTTAGTTTATCAAAAAAGAACAACAGGGATTAGCAAAAATAGTAGACAGTAAAACAGACGTTGCGACCACACCAAAGAAAAAGAGAGACAGAGAGAGAATGGAATTTCATTAATTTTAATTTCACAAAGCTTGTTACAAAATTCGAATAAAATAAAGAATTAAAATAATCATATCAGAGTTACTGTACCATGTTAAGAAAATGAAGACGAGGGGTATTGGTGGATCCAGGATAGAACTTAGAGGGTGAACGCCCCACCACCTTTTTGATCGCCAAACATAAATTTTAAAATCAAGTTTTTCACGATTTATATGAATTTTTAAAATCGTCCAAAAAAATCCGTTTTCCGGGGAAAATAGCTGCTACTCATGATTTTTATTTGCAGTCACACCTGTCATAGATTGTACATATATTTTCTATAAATATTTTTTTAACACTGAGGATAAACTATTATAAACTGTATTGTCAAAAATAAGGTAACTTGCTAGTTTTCATACAATTGCAGGAATCACCTTTTGGCGACATACACCAGTGGCGGACCCAGAATAGGGCGATCCACCCCCCCCCCCCTTTTGATTGCAAAAAAAAATAATAAACTACCACGATTTAAATGATTTTGAAGCATAAAGTTGTTCTAATTTTTTTAGTCTCTCCCCGCTCGAGCTCGAAGTATCTAATAAATTTTATGGAATCACGCCCCCCACCCCCCTTTTCAAAATAATTTACATTCTAAATTATTATTTTACTCTCCACTGAAATATTGAACACTATATAAAAAGGATTATAGGGAGTAGCGTGAATAGTAGTAAGTACTGCAGACGGTGAAACCACATCAAAGAGAGAGAAAATGGCATTTCATTAATTTTGACAAAGCTTGTTACAAAATTCGAAAAAGCAAGAAAGCATAAAAATTTATGGATAAGGCAGGTAAAACAAAAATTAAAAATCAATTTTCCTAGTACCAAAAATCTTAATTCAGGCTTTAACAACCCATTAACAACCATATTAAATTGTTACTGTTAAGAATCAGTCGGAGGATGGTTATTGGTTTGGAAGAACACACCAAATTGACCACGTATTACACATGTATTTAAAAAGCTGGTTTGATAAGTGCCAAAAAGCCAAAAAGTATAGTGTTCCATATATATATGCAAACATATGCATGATTGATTGTTGCGTCCAGTGGCAAATATTTTATGCATGTTCAGGACGATATGCAAACAGGTCTATATAATGCAGAGAAAAACAGTAATTCCTGAGGAGATAACTCACTAATAGAAAAACAATTTTTAACTTAAATCTTTTTTTTAATTCTTTATTAAAATTTACACGCTCAGGACTGCAGAATAAATTATGCATCATTTCTTGTCATGCATTTTTACAACAAAACTATATGCATTTTACTTTCACACAACTTAATTGTGGGCTATGTTGGAAGGGGTTGGTCTTTTCACCACCGAACACCACCGCACACCCAAAAAGACCACTAACCCTTAAGAAAAACAGTAATGTTACACAATAAAACAATTAATTCGATTAAATTACGTAAAATTTAATCCTATTCTCATGTTTTCACATTTTTATGTGCATTACTGATGTTAAAGTTGAGAATCAAAATTTTAAAAAACGCTTCCGGATCCAGCAATATTTTTTCCGGATTTACATTTTCTGTATTTCATTATATATTATCTTATGGTCTTTACTTTTCAATTATTAGAAATAAATTCATGAAATCGTTCAAATAAGTTGAAACATTTTATTTAATGTGAAATTATCACAATAAATTATATTTAAAAAAATGTTAGACTTGACTGAAGTGTACTGTTCTGACAACAGCCCTGCAAGACTGTCCTTTTTGGTTCTCTTGTTATCATTTCTTATTAATTTATGTAACTATGTATAAACATATTCATCCTCGTTCAGAAGGTAAGTAAAATATATAAATAAAGATGAAAACAATATATTTAGGTGTGTTAGATGGTATTTTAATGTGTTCGGCGGTGTGCGGTGGTGAAAAGACCTACCGTGCATGGTTGATATACTGCCTTGATATATATATATATAATAATGTAATTAGGTAATAAAAAAGAAAGAGCTTTGGTAAATAAGTAGTTGAAAACGAGAAAACCCTATGACGAACCTCAATGTATATATAAAGGTAGACTTAAGATCATTGTGTGTCCGTTTTGGATTGTCAGGGGCGTAGGAGCCGCGAGGGGCGGTGAGTGGTGGGTTAGGGGTCAAATATAAAATGAAAATGATAGAGGACTCTGACTATCTATTAGACTATAAAAGTTTTTTTCTTTTTTCTTCTTTCTTTTTTGCTTGTCACTTTCAGAAGTTTGCGCACCCCCCCCCCCCCCCCTTTTTTTCTCTCCACTACTCCTACGCCATTCATTGTGTTCACAATTGAACATGCGCCATCGACATGATCGAGGTCTCATTAAAACATAAAGGTGTAATAGTGTAGAGGACAGTGTCGGATGATTATGTATCATGTAAACATAAAGATTATTTTACCACTTTGCCCATTGTTCTGAGTGATGTATCTAGTATTCTGGCGCTCCATACTTCCGTAACTCCTTCTGGTACCTGTGTATCCATATAGTTAAACAAACACAGTGCCAATATACCCACTATAATTGCAAAAACAGATTGCTTCAAAATATTCCATAGCAATGAGCCCTACAAAAATAAACGATAATGTATGTTTATCGAGACTCGCTTCAAAATATTACATATCACTGAGCCCTACAAAAAACGATAATGTACGTTTATCGAGACTCGCTTCAAAATATTAAATATTAAATATCAATTAGCCCTACAAAAAAAACGATAATGTGTTTTATCGAGACTCGCTTCAAAATATTCCATATCACTGAGCCCTAGAAAAACGATAATGTACGTTTATCGAGACTCGCTTCAAAATATTCCATATCAATGAGCCCTACAAAAAAACGATAATGTACGTTTATCGAGACTCGCTTCAAAATATTCCATCTCACTGAGCCCTACAAAAAACGATAATGTATGTTTATCGAGACTCGTTTCAAAATATTCCATATCAATGAGACCTACAAAAAAAAACGATAATGTACGTTTATCGAGACTCGCTTCAAAATATTCCATATCAATGAGCTCTACAAAAAAACCATAATGTATGTTTATCGAGACTCGCTTCAAAATATTCCATATCATTATCACTCAGTCTTACAAAACGATAATGTATGTCTACAGAGACTCCGGTTCGTCTATTTCATTGTTGGTGTGGCTACATGGAAGATCTGTCAGTTGGAAAGAGTTTAGTTGTTTATTGAAGGCCGAAATCTTTTTCAGAAATTTTTTTTTTTACAAATATCTATCAATTTAGTCTATTACCAAAATATGTGTCACGAAAATTCAAACCTTGGCATCAAAATAAATTCAATTTTCATTTAATAATATGTGGTTTTCTTTGTAAAACAAGTCAATTAATGCATTCTGAATTTACTTTTTTCTTCCTCCCTTTTTTGCCTGTCAATTGCTTCTAAAAACTTCTGGTATACCCCAAGTGTGTGTAATGCATTAATTAGATTGGTAACTTGTTCTTGTTTTGCTTAACTGGTCATTTATGAGGGTCTAGATGGGGTTTACAGAATATAAAATACTGAGCAATAAAATAAAGAATAGAGAATAATGGGAAAAAGATACAAAGAACAGAGAAAAATGACCTAAAAAATTATAGAATACAGAATTAAAGGACCTCCTATCCAGACCCTTATTTATAACAAATTTCGAATTTTCAGTAATGTACCAAATGAAGCTCAAATGAAGATTTGTAGAATCTATGAGTTTTTCCGCCAATAAAATATATGATTTACATCTATTTTGGCTATTTCAAAATATATACAATTTCGTGTTTAGCGTAATTTCGACATATCCAACGCTCTTTTTCAGCGGAATATGCCGATGTTTGCCGATTATTCATACAGAATCAGTGTTCTATAAACATTTCAAATTATTTTGTTTATGTTTTTGGAATTAATAAATGTATTAATGGTAGTAAAAAAAAAGTATCTTTGTAAAAAGTGCAATTACGTTTTTGAAACTCACGTCAATAAAAGATAAAGTTATCACTTCACAAAAAGGAGTAGTTATAACACAACAGCATTCAATATAGAAATTTGTCTATCCTGTTACATGTACTATATGCAGAAAGTAACAGAATAGACTACAACTTCAAAATTGAGAGTGTATAAATATACACTTTTTTACAATAGTTACCAAACACTTTTTTTTAATTCAGGGAGACTCAGTACTTGATATTGCGTTTATTAGAAATTTAAGAAGAAGAAGAAGAAGAAGAAGAAGAAAAATAATGGAATAGAAAAAAAATTGGTATAATCCATTGCGGGTTGTTAGTTTCACAACCTTAAAAAACAAATTATTACAGACCTGTATTTCGGTATAACATGGAAAAAAGTATAACAAAAATACCAAAATCCAAGGCAAATTCAAAATGGGGAAGTCTATAAAAACTGACAAAATGAAATGCTATCAACGCCGGCTATCAATTAACGGAACAAGTGAAAAATAACTGCCATATTCCTGACTTGGTACAGGCATTCAGTTCCAAAGAAATGGAAATTTGACAACAAATCTCATATAGTGTAGGCTTTACCTTGAAAACTTTTTCTTGGTTTAAGAAAAACGTACAGAAAACCTTTTCTTAATAGACACAAATGCTCAGTCTGAAAACAGTTTGACAAAATATTGCACTACCTATCAAACATGTTTCTATATAATCGTGTATGACATCGTTAATTTAAGATTGCAATCTTTCAATCATATTATCAGATTATGGCGAGATACTAGTATATAAGATCAATATGAAACCTGCATTGCTGTCATTGTTATTGTTTAAATATTTTTATTTATTTTTTTTTCTGGCTTTCCATACATTTGGTGTGCTATATCTACTTTTTGATCTGAAGTTTATAATTTCCTCCTTGAACATGCCATTGTCATTTATTCGCACTCGATGTAAGTAGTATCGTCCGTGCACAGATGCTAGACGTGCAGAACTGGATTCTAACCACGTGTCAGCCCACATGCAGGCCAGCTGCTACAACTTCAAGGCCAGGAAGACACGTTTAAATTGGACATATTATTCCGACTTCCGAGTTTACCCGTCTTTGATCCGACTCCTAAATGCTCGGTGCTTAGTTGAGATTCTACACATTATAGTTTTGATGTCTTTGACGCGTCCAACAATCGAAGCATTCGGGGTTAAGATTCTAGCACCATGGCAAAGAAACAATTAAGCTGCAAAGCACCAATTAATGCCATAATTACCTTCAACTTGGCATCATGTTCGTGTATCAGTTTGCCCAGATCTTTTCCTCCTTCCTTCTTTTTGTGCCCTTTTTGTACCATTGTTCAGCTGAAAATTACAGCTAAATTTAAAACATATGGTATTCCACGTTACGTTTTTATTATCAAAAATAGGAAATACGATTCGGTAGTTTTTTTCTAAATTTATTGTAGTTATCTCCCTTTGGCCGATCATTGGTCTATTTTTACACTTACAACTTTTCAACTTCGTACTTTATTTGGCCTTTTTAACTGTTTTGATTTTGAGTGTCACTGATGAGTCTTTCCTAGACGAAAGCCGAGTCTGGCGTTCAAAAATTCTGATCATGACATATATGATTTCAAAATTTGTTCATGTAATTTCTTTTCGTCAACGTTTATACGTTAGAATTCCAAACTGCACAAAAGTTTTACATAGTATATGTTTCAAAATTAAGTATTCCCGTATCAATATTATTGATCTAAGTGAATCTGATAAACTGGTTCATGTATACAAAGTGGTTACTAGTTAATTATGAGTGGCAGTATTCAACCATCTGTGGCTTCGTACCTTCCTTTGGTAGCGATCAAATTTTGCGAATTTTCTAGATTGAGCACAAGGTGGACTATATTGGTTTCTAGATATCTTTTGATTGTTTGTGTCCTTGGGTTGCTGTCTCATTTACGTATACACTCAACGTTTCTTATTATTCATATTTAGTTATATCACTGTCCTCCTTCCTGTATTTTAAATTATGAACTATACACGTATTATTAGGTAGCACCCGTCCTATAATCACGCAGAAGGTGATTTATATACTCAAATAGTGAGTTTTGATATGTTGTTCAGAAAGCAAAGTTATATCAAAAGCTACACATATGATTTCTACTCTAAACTGTTTTCAGATTATGTTCTGTAAATGGAGAAAACTCCCTGATCTCCAGCCTATTATTTTTTTTTACTTTCGAGTAGATTTTCTTCCATGAATAAGCAGTCATGGGACGAACCATTATCCATTTCATGAAAGTTAGTAAAATAACAAAGTTTCAAAGTATGTTTAGGCTTGTTTATTTATGTTAACTACTTTTGTTTAACATTGCATGACATTTATATTGACTGATTCATATTAAGAACTACTGATAAAACACAAGTTTGCTGTTCTATATATAATTTGACCACTGGCTAGACTCGAGGCATCACTAAGTGCCTTTTACAGCTTATAAATATAAGAAGATGTAGTATGAGTGCCAATGAGACAACTTTCCATCCAAGTCACAGTTTCTAAAAGTAAACCAGTATAGGTCAAAGTACGGCCTTCAACACAGAGCCTTGGCTCACACCGAACAGCAAGCTATAAAGGGCCCCAAAAATGACTATAAGTGTAAAACCATTCAAACAGGAAAACCAACGGTCTAATCTATATAAAAACGAGAAACGAGAAACACTTATGAACCACATCAACAAACGACAACCACTGAACATCAGGTTCCTGACAGGTGCAAACAAATGCAGCGGGTTTGAATTAGTTTTTTGGCGCTAAACCCTCCCCCTAATCTAGTCAACCTTGCTTATAGTTCTAGTATGTAATGCATAATGCTATACCACTTGTCTCAACTCGATCCATTTTCCAAGTCTTAGAGAAATTCGCGTTTTGTAAATTTATCCATATACATGTATGAGAGATTGTGTCAAATTAAGGCTCTTGAAATAGCACCAAAAGTGCAGAAGAGGTTTTTTTTCCAGGCGCTTGATAAATTGATATTTACGAATGCAATACGAAGATATTATCCAATGTGATATAGCCTTTATAAATCCAGTTTGAATTAGCATACCATATTCCATTCTTTTTATCATAACTACTTTCTGCTGTACTGTTATGTTTTGTAACTAATGGGCCCTCAATTTGTTCAATGCAAATATTCTATTTTTTTGTAAAGAACATGTGTAAATTACAAAACTATTATACTTATAAGGTTATTTCATATTGATTTTTTCAAATAAATAATGTTTCGCTAAGATACGAATACGAACACTTTATTAAAACCAATTATGATAGTATGCTACATGTATATATAGCTAGTCAGCCTACAGGTACCATTATGTATGTATATATATATATATATATATATGGAGGGCAGTTATATTTATGCCAGCATACATGTATTTAGCCACCAGTAGTTTAGAGCATAAATCAAATGCATAAAAAGTAACCAGACGAAAAAACGCTTGTGGTATAGATTTTTCACCGGTAATGCAAGATTCAATATAAAAAAAAAAAAAATGATTAACAAACGATTGAAGAATTAAATTTACTAAATACGGAAGTGAATGGAAACAATGAGGAAAGCAATGTGTGCATTGTCTTGTGTAACAAATGTCACTTTACTTTCTCGCTATCTTTACTGATAGTTTTTACTAAATATATATATTATGAATAGTAAAGAAGTTGTCACAATGAATATTGCAACTACGCACTTTTAAAATTGTTTCAAGTAAAGAATGCAATTAAATCTAAATTGAGTAATGTAAAATTAAGAAAGAAACAGACTGCGTTACCTGTTCTACTATAGTTCCACGTGGTTGTAGACCGGTTATGGGAAAATGCAAGGACGGGTCAAGATAAAGCTCGTTACTATCTTCTCATTATCTTAGTAGTGTGGTATTATAAATTAGAAGTACATTTCTTATCTACTTATGAATTAATAAAGTGTAGCTTTATAACAACATGTTTACTGTATAGTAAGGGAGGCCATTTGATATTGGGGAGAGCGGAGGGACAACCACCTAGCTTTTTCTATGCTGGCTTATTCATTTATAACTTTTTTTACACAATAATGTATTGCATTTTGCAGGGCAAACTATTTATTATCATCCTGCCTTTGGTTGATATTTTTTTCAGATGTTACCAGGCCAACATATGCATTTCCAAAATAAACATTCATAAAAGATGAAAACAACACGTTATAAATTGCATGCATCCGAAGCGCTTTATTGGACTTATCTTCATCAGGAACTCTCAAAGCCGAATAGCTGAAAGCCCAGGATGTATAAGAACCAAAACCGTTGAAGAAACCGATTAATAAAGGATTAATTAGGTATTGTCCATTCGTTCCCATGATACTTACCAAAGAGAAAATAATGCACAATCATATGTATTTTTATTTGAAAAATCAATGAAAACTTGATCTTCCTTCACTGTATTGGATACCCAAATGATATAAGTGTCCTGATAATCACGTTATATTACTGGATTTGTCGAATGCTTTATGTAACCTCTTTCCAAATACACATCTATCTTTTCAACAATTAAAACCGGGCTTTAGAGTTACTATAAAAGAGAGACGAAACGTACCAAAGGGACATTCAGACTCACATGTCAAAATCAAACTGACAACGCCATGGCTAAAACAGAAAAAGACCCACAGACAAACAATAGTATTCAAAACACAACATAGAAAACTGAAGACTGAGCAACACGAAATACTACATACTAAAGAGGCGGTTTGAATCAAGTGTGGATACTAAAAATTCCAAAGATCTGTTCGAGAACATATATATATATATATAAAATCTAAGTCACTTCCCTAGTTCAATTGTATAAAACATTTGGCCTCTCTATCCATTACACTAGAATTCCTCATTTCTGAACTTAAAGACAGATTGAAATAATTAGCCTGATTTTGTTCCTTAAAAAGAAATGTCAACGCAGATACAATGGGGATATTTCATACTTTGCCCCCCCCCCCCCCCCCCCCCCCCCCCCGCTCTGATTCAATCAATTTAGGGGACGTGTTTTTCAACAAACAATCGGCATTCCAATGAAAACAAACTGTGCTCCTCAACTTAGCCCTTAACTCCAATGAGGTTGAATTCATACGGGAGCCTATTAGAAAAAATGAAAAGATTCTAACATTATTCTTTAACGTCACCAAGTTCACCTTTTGCTATATAAATACTGTCCTCTCATTTAACAGTTCAAAGTTTGGCAAATTTCATATCGCCATGTCACCGCTATAGCTGGCGCTAAATTGAAAAGCAAACAATAACAGAAAACATTCAAAGTACTGACGCACAGTTTACTGGGACGATCCCAAGATATAATGGCTGATGAATTAATGATACAGATAACAATCTCTCCGTAGGCTCTCTTCATATGCAGGATAATGCATGTATTCAATGTTCCCCTTCCGATTGGACGTGACTGTGTATAAAATAACCCAACAGACACCCGCTCACGAATTTGTCTTCCTACAATCCTTGAGAAATCAAAATGGCCATAAATCTAGAATCTTGCAGCCCTTGCTTTGGATACAGAATGTTCGGTTGTCTAAATATCCTTGCTAACTATATAATATTAAAAGATGTGGTACGCTTGGCAATAAGATAACTATCCAACATAGACCAAATGAAATACGTGTAAGCAACCCTGGTTCTCCGAACAATCTTCAACCATGAGCAAATCCAATCATGTGACCGTGACATGAAAACATGTAAAACAATTCAAACGCAAATAAAACGGCCTGATTTATGAACAAAACAATAAACGAAAACAAATCTAATAGGGAGCGAGCAACGGTAATGGTTGACTTATAGGCTCCTGATTGCGGACAGGCATTTACAGAATGTGGCGGGGTTTTCGAGCCAACTGAACAACTAACTTAATAAATCATGTTTCTAACGTGAAGGAAAATAGCAATCGGTACACATCCAATGGATTTAGTGTAAAGGCTTCATTAATAGTCCAAGAAAACATGACTTTGTGCAGTCCCAAAAAAGAAGTATCTACATGATATAGTACCTTTAATAAGTATGCATAACTGTATATAGGAATACATATTTAGTTATGGCTTAATTTATTGACAACTACTTAAACAAATGTTAAGACTTGTAAAACAATATTACAAGATCTTAAATTATTACAGTGCTAAATTGATAATCTTTTCGAATGGATTTTTACAAACGATCGATAAGTTTACGCCGATGGCCGATACAATAAAACAGCCTTAGAAAATAGAATATGTCCCTTATGCCATAACGAGGTGGAAAAGGAATTCCATTTTCGTAACATGTGCAGAACTTAATAAACCTAGGATCAAAATGTTTAATGAAATTGCTAATATTGTTCCCCGTTTTAATTCAATGAGTTATAAAAACAAATTTGATTTTATATTTTCTTGTGAAGAATGTGATATATTAATTATCTTTGTTAACAGTATATGAGAGAAACAACTATAATGTCGACGTCAATACATGAACTGTGTATGATTCATGACTAATATTATAATATGTATAATCAAGATATTTGAAATGATAACTTTATAGAGGAGGCATGTTGTGATAAAAAGTATTGTAATAAATATTAACATTTTTTTCAATGCTACATGTTTGTATTGTTTTCTGTCTATCGTTTTGTTATTTATATGTTTTTCTTTCGTAACAATCCTTTTGTTTGGATTTTAAACCGTAATAAAATTCTTATTCTTATTCTTATCCACGCCTAATCAGCAGGGGATCCAGGAACTATTAACAAAAGAGAGGCGTGGTTCCATGTCAGTAAAGGGACGGGTGATGGACCAAACCTTATACCGTACTTACTTTTATGCGATTTCATAGCGATGTGAAGAATAAGAAGTAGGGAACCCATAGTCAACCTCAACTTTAACATTTATATATCCGTGACTAGGAAACAATAATGTTTAATAAATTTGACACAACTGTTTAGATTTTTCCTTTATATCTCCAGTAAAAATTGGCAATGGTTATTTTTTAGAAGTTTGTCATTTTTATCGCTATTTTGTATATGTCTTGCGAGTATAAATTAAAACATTGTTGATAATATATTAGGTAAAAGGTTAGTGGGTCAGCAACATAACACAAGACTTGTTGACTCACTAGGGTACACATTATTGCAATATTGCCCGGAAAATTCATAGGGTCTACCGGCCAATATAACGGCTCCACTTAAAACTGGAAAAAAGTACATACATGCCTGATCTCAAACATTGGACTGAAAGAAAATATAGCTTGAATTTTTCTTCACGTAGAATTATATTGTTTTTTTTCTAATTTAAAATTGCAGCATGTCATTCCCGGTAAGCTACTTCATAAAAACCCACTGATCAAACTGGATCAGAATAAAGCTGAAATATATTTTAATATTTCTTCTATTAAATCTTGATAAAGTAGTGTACAAATGTTAAATACAACTTTATCTATGCTTTAATCTTTTATATACATATACTTTTATCGCGACAAATCATTGATAATATAACATCCGGGCAATGCAAGCATTTGTATAGTAAGACTATACAAATCCTTGATCAATGCAAATTATATTATTTATCTAATTTTGAAGAAAAAAGAAGTCCCGCAATTTTAGGGCAGATTCTATTTGAGCCAATTACTAGATTTTTGAGAATGAGTGCATAGCAAAATGTAACTAACGTACGTTAGTAAATAGTAACACCATTTTTTCTTTCTTCGGATATAATTAGCGTTTTTTTGAATGGCAAAAGATGTGGCTGATAAAAATCACTTGAATCATTTAATAGATATATATAAGTAAAAATAAATAAATTGATAAAATTTGCGATATTGATTGATTGTTTTATTCAGTGACGCAAATGAAACCTATAGTTTTCAAAATCGCAGTAGTATTATTGCCCCGCAAATAAGTTGTGGCGCAAATGATTCATTTTTGGCGCTCTTTCACAGGTAACGCCTGTCTCATATTTATTATTCATAGCAAGGATTTGTAATTCCTTGTTTAGAATAATTTAAAACCACAAGTTTGATCGATTAGTCTTCAAGTGTCCGGAAAATGTCTCGTGTTAGTTTCGTTTCCGATTTACATTTACTTTATTTGTTGTTTCCGGTTACGAAAATCCGACTAAAGTTAAAACATGAAAAGCTATAAATATAGCAAAATGTGAAACTGTTAAGCATTGTGTGAATGTTTCAGTAAGACTACAGCTTGAGAAACATTTTAAGGTTATACCGGCGAATATGTCAGCTGACAAAGGAACAGACGTAAGCAAGGTCAAAGCACTGGTCAACGCCATGCACAAACAAGGCATTCGTCTTCTTGCGATGGATTTCGATCAGACATTGATATCTATTCACTCTGGTGGTCGATGGAAAGAAACAATTGAAAATCTAGTCAAAGAGGTCCGTCCCTGCATGAAAGATTTGATTCCTGCTTGCCTTGAAAAGGGGATTTACGTTGCCATTGTTACTTACTCGGCACAGTCTTGGTTGATTAAAGATCTGATGAAAAATTTATATGATAGGTATAGTCTAAGCATACAATTTATATTAACCATATAGCCTCTCTGGTTGTGTGGTAGATTGCTATAATGTGATATGCGAGGTTGTCGGTTTCTTACATGTAGCTGGGTCAAACAAATTACCAACTTGCTGCTTCTTTGCAAATGCACAACATTAGGTGTAAGAGGCTTGTACGCACAATAATTTGCCTTTGGAATTTTTATATATTTAAGATGATGGCCACTGTAGAAATGTTTAGCTCACTCACATGCTTGTTCACAGTGATATTGAGCTCCAGTCTCTGGGTGATTTGACGTGTTAAAATTATTGGATAGACACTTGTCTGTAAGAAAAGGTTTTTCGCAGTTAGGGGTACTACTTAAACAAATGATTATTTTAGTGAAAATATAAAAATAAGAAGATGTGGTATATGGGTATGAGTGCTTATGAGCATGATGTACAGTCAGAAGTGCTACTTATATAAGTGATTTCAGAATCACTTCTTCTGTGGTGTTCTGTGGTAAAAAGGCGCTCCCAGTGATTTTGGCTGTGAAATATTAAAAATTTTAACAAACATGACAAAAATAGACACAGACTTTTTAAAATCACTAAAACAAGTAATTTGAGAAGTTAAAATGTAATCACTTCAACAAGTGTTAATAACATTTTCTTGATATTTTTCCCACAAGCTTGCCTTTTTTATTGGTAAAAAGACAAGAATTCCATTGAAAAAACAACTATGTACATGCAGAAATTGTCTTTTGCTTGATTAGCCTGTCAGTTTTTACAGTTTATTTAAAATATGCAAAAACTGGAATAATTTGTAGATCAGGACATAACCTTGAAGTAGATCATTATAACTCTAAAGAAAACCAATCAGGTTACCTAATATTGTTGATCTTTGTCTGATAGTAAGAGTACTAGTAGTTAATGAATATTTGATTATAGAAAAATTCCCAAGCGTACTTTTAAAAGCTTTAGCGCACTAACTTACTGTCCAAGCGCACTGATGAAATTGATATACAAAAGAAAGGGATAATTAGTTCTATGTAGGAAAATTATAGAAAAGTTTGTCAAAATATGGAAAATCAATGAAAATTATGTCATTTGAAGATCAAAGGAAACACCAAAATCACTTTAAAAGGTGATAACTGATTTTATCAAATCACTGAAATAGGTGATAATGAAATCACATGTTTAAGTAGTACCCCTGACTGATGTAGACGGTTAGCAAAGTTCTGATTGTCACCATACCTGCCAATCCTCCCGTTTTGAGCCGGAGTCTCCCGCGCAAACTACGAAATTCCAGAATTCTCCCACTTGCCGTTCTGCTCCAGCGAGGGAGTATAAAATCTCCCGTTTTCGTATATATCATGTATTTTAACCCTGAATGACCCGCGTTCGTATTTCACACGAATTTTCTTAACTGTCAGATCAATAAAAAGAGACAAACAATCAGCGAGCATTTGAAAACTTTGGGCAATAGTTTTTATGTTCGATTTATAAGTAAACAAAAATCATTTCTGCTATGTCAACTTCAACAAGATCATAAAGATAGAGTTCTTTGTCTGGACCAAGCGCAGTGTAAAGACACATGAAAGAAGAAGAAATATAACTGCAAATTTCAAGCAGATTGGATGAAAAATTTCAATTTTTACGACCAAGTTAACTCGACACAATGAATCTATATTGTGCACATTATGTTCAATAAACTTTTTGGTTGCTTCTGGTGGTCTGTATGACATTCAAAAGCATGCTTAGTGTGAGATTCACAACAAAATTAAAATATGGAATGTTATGAGTTATGAGACTAGGAGGTATTGAATAAATAAAAAAAAACCCATCTTGTATAGATTACAAAAATGAATTGAAGAAATAAAGTATATTTATTAACTCTTATTGGCATGATTGGTGTTTTGTAGATGAATAAGTGTACAGGTCATATATTTAGCTTGAAAATGTCATTTGTGTGAAATCTCCCCCGCAGCTATCATAGCTGAGAGGAAGATCTCCCTCTTTGAAGGTTTCAGAGGTTTGCAGGTATGTTGTGACTACGACCTTTAACAATGAGCAAAACCCTTACAGCATATAAAAGGCCCCAAAATGACACAAATGTAAAACAATTAAAACTAGAAAACTGACGGCCTGATTAATGTACAAATTGTAAACAACAAACAAAAAGCAAATATGATATACAGCAACAAACACTAACCACTGCATTACAGGCTCCTAACTTGGGACAGGCACATACAGAATGTGGCTGGGTTAAACATATGTGTGGCCGTGCCAACCCTCCCCTAAGTTAACCTGGGACAGTGGTGTAACAACAAACTATAAGAACAAACTATTAAAATCTGTTGAAAAAGCTTGACTCATCAGACAGTGTCAGATCAATACAAAGCACATAAGCCAAGACGACGGAGTGGGCAAATGGTGGGTGTAAATTTACAATGGCTTTCTTACTGTTGTTATCTAAATAAAAATTGAATTAAAGTTGAGAGAATAGCATAAATAGCTTTGATTAGTACATTCCAATAGACAAAAAATACAGAATTAAATGGAAAAAAAAGATGAATACTATATATAGCCTAAAAAGTTTGTACAATTATGAGCCAAGGTAATTCTGGGACATACATGTTATATATTGTATAATAGTCCCAAGGTAATTGCAGCTTTGGTATAAACATTTCATATCCAAAAGTATTTGGCACTTATTCTTTTGTGCAGCTAAAAGCAATGCATATGCTAGCTACTTGTCATGCAAGTCTTGACACTTTCACAACACATTCTTAGCTAAATGTAGACAATCAGTCACAGTGATTCAGTATTAAAAAGTAAAACTGGAGTCATGATTTATGAGGCAGTTACACCATCAAGATTCTATTAGCTGAGTCTACATGGTCTAGAAGTGATAATTTTATTACAAAAAAGAATACATATATATCTTTATTTTCTACCAGGAAATATGAAACAATGGTATATTTGATTAAATCCCCATCCATAATAGTCTTTTTATATCTATGTAAAAGGTGCCCTTAAAGTGTAGTCCTCCATGCAAAGGGTGCATAGCCAATCTTGCTAAGAGTGCCCTCTAAGAAAAAATTACCTGCACTTTTCATGAGCTGCAGGAAACAGTATCCAAAAAAGGAAAATTTACAATATAGGGAACATTAGGGGGAAAAAAAATCATTCCTTTTGTCATAAATTTTTGTGTGGAGTTCCTGTGTAAAAGTAAAACTGGTTCTAAAATTTCTAAATCTCAAAGAAAGGACTGTTATAGCTATTTATATTTGATTTACAAAATGTATTTAAAGTAACATGAGTAAGTTCCTTTGTGTAAATTTTGACACTAGCATATTAAGAGAACTTGATTGTTTAACAAAAAAATTATCGTCAAGTTAAAGATACATGTATATGTGTTGTTGATTTTATCTATTAAATGATATTAAGATGGGTCTTCACTGAGTTGGGCCATAAACTGTGATTCATAACAGTATATTAGGATCAAGTCTGCTATTAAATGGGCACAATGGGTGCCCATAGGAATACCTGTTGATACATGTAAACTGTATTGCCGAAAAGTACATGAATGTTATCAAAAATATAGAAAATTTACAACTTTAATCATCTCACCACACTTCCAGTAAGTATACAATGTACATTTTAAATCTTATGAGTTGCAGCAGATAAATTTGCAATCAGATTTGTCTAGTTTGAAGGACCATTTAAGTAAATGGTCAAACTTTTTTTTATAAGATTGTATAGGACTTAAGCAATGTTAAGTGTAAAGAGTTGAAAAGTCAAACCTGTCTACTGAATTAAAAGGACCATCAAAAGTGTGTTTTTTTTTATCTAAAATATCCAAAGATTTTTTTACACTCCAAAAAAGGTTAATCCACTATTTTCCTATGCTTTATTACAAAAGTTAATTATTAGCATGATTAGATCTTTAAAAATAGTTGAGGAATCGGTTAATAGCACTGAAGGATTAGATTGTTGAACACTTACTATCTAGAGGCTGATATGAAATGTTTTTTTACAGGTTTTTTGTGTAGTTTAGGTTACCAGTATGTACATGTACACATGTAAGAACTTTTGTGTAGTCTTTACCATGTTTACTTGAATACTTCATACCGCATTCACATTGTTTACTCCTGCAATATGTTGGCAGGTATACATGTACACACGAACTACTTTGTGAGTTACTGTACTTTTACTACTTTAAGTTTGTTTCTTATTCTAGAAATAGGCGTAATAACATGGCATAATATATACCCATTTATTTATTTCTAGATTATTTTCAAAACGTGATTATGGTGATATTAAAATATCCACAAATACATGTACATTCATTTATTTTTAAATAACAATCAAGATATTTTTTTAAAAGCTGTTATTATACACGTACATTCATAGAGTTGGCTGAAAAAAAACGAGATTGTTTCACACTCCTTGAAAATATCATGTAATTTACTAATTTGTAATTGACCAATCTTTAAGTTTACATACATAATAATTGATGCCTACAGTTGTTTTTATATATGGATAGGAGATTGTCAGGTTTAGAATTTATAGGATGTTTATTAATTCGTTGATTTCGATTGATAGGTTTGCCACCAGACCAGGGACTTTCTATACTATACATACTAATTTTTTTAGTCTTATGCTTTTGAATTCAAATTACTGTAAAACTAAAAGGCTATATGCATAAAATATTTATTCCATGGGAATTTTTGTTTTTTTTTAATCTTTAAAAAAAAGATAAAACGTGTTAATGAATAAAGGTTATTATCACTTACTTTTTACCAGATTTTTATACGCCCGTCAAATTTTTGACGGGACGTATTATGGTATACAAATGTCCGGCGTCTGTCTGTCCGTCTGTCTGTCTGTCTGTCCGGCATAAACATGTGGCACCGTAACTTGAGAATGACTTATTCAAATTTCATGAAACTTAACATAGTTGAAACGTTTCTTATGATGGTCAAACGATCTGTATACTTTTTGGTGAAAATAAGATTAA